GTTTCAAGGCAGCTTTCGCACTCTCCTCTTTCACCCTCATCAAGAGGCTCTTTAGTTCTTCACTTTGGAAAAATGAATCTGACAGAGTATATATATTCTTTCCATTTCATGTCAGTATGAGGTATTTCATTCAGTATTAATGTTATGTTAAACCTACTTGTGCCGTCATGATGTGTCATAATTGCACAAAGCAGCAGTCATCAAATTCATTCTTATAGGCAACTACTTATCAATGAAAACCCTTTCTATTACTGATATATGTGTCCTCAAAAAGACTTGATATGATTACTATCGTTTTTGAAAGAACTTCTGCCGCTGAGTAAAGATGTGATTTCAGACAATCAGTTCAGATTGCTATGTTAAAATATGCATTGGAAGATTTTAATATTTAAAGCAACAGTAATGTTTTAAGACATTTGTCATGTTATATCATCACATACTATGCACGGCATAGTAAATATGGGCAAGGAGTACATTAAACAAAAACATACAAGTTTATTAGAAACTTATTCTTGCAGGGATAACTTAGTTGACTTTCTCAGTGTCTGGAGTCATTCTGTCCATATAGAGAAATAGTTTTAGATTTTTAATTTGTATTACAGGGTAGTTAAGTAGGAGGAAGCTAATATTTATTGCTTCCTCTTATGAGTCTGGTAACAGGATATGAAATACATATTGCATGTTGCAGAGCTACTGAAAAAGTATGAATTGAATTAGGAGGGTAACACCAAAATACCCTGAGTCGAGTGGGTGTCTATATAACTTGATTACAAAAACAAAATAATCCTTTCTTCATCAGGTCGATTTCATAACACGGTGCCTAGCATAGATACTGATGAAGATGGCAGCCACGTGTATGCTGGGACATCTCAGTGGAGTGGGATCCAGTCTAATGTCCTGGGGACACACTTGATGGACCCTAAAAAAAAAGGTAAGGGAAAGGTGATTGTGCCAATTCCTGTTTATGCTCCCTATTCTTTATAATGCTGAATGGAAAAGGGGGAAAGACAAGTTAGAGATGTCAGTAATAAAGCACCTTGCTGAGCATTGAAATATTTGGAGCCTGAGAGCCTATATATTGTAGTCATTAGAACAAGGATAGATCGTCTTATGCCCTCCAGATGTTTGGGACTGTAAATCATAATCCTTTGCCACTGGCCTTGTTCCTGGAGCAGGTGGGAGTTGTTCCAAAACTCTGGATTCAGTCTATAAGAAAGCTATCTTCAGCTTCTTAATGAAAGAATGGAATAAAAATATACACCTCTAAGATTTATCCAGGTGCAATTCAGCTGAGTTCAGTAGAACTGAAAAGTAAGTATGCAAAGAATTGCAGTGTTAGTGATCTAACAAAAATAATGATATTGCAAGTTTGCTTTTATTTTCTCTCATAGCATTCAGTACCTCTTAACTGCTTATTCTTAGTGAAATTGGGCATTTTTTTTCTTTTTCTCAGGAAGATCAGAAAGCAGAGTTGATCTGTTTGTCATAATTCAGAGTGTCTTGAATTAAAATCTATCTCCTGTTTTTTGATTAAAATACAAAAAAAAAAAAATCAATTCTTTGTAAGTTTGGTCTTGAATCCTTTTGCAGATAAATCCACCAATAATGGAATTTTTAAAGATTCATGTGAGTCACCTATCTTCAGTGACAGTTTAACAGAAGAGGAGAAACCTTTGGACATTCAAACTGTAGAAATTTCCACTACTGAAGTCCAGGCTGTAGAAGTTCATGATATTGAAACTCAGACCATTTCCCCGGAGAAGCTTGAAGCAGAGGATGCAGAGGAAATCCCTCTTGGAAGTTGCAAGGTGCTTGAAAAGAATCCTCCTTTGAACGTCATCATTCCGCCCAAATGGCCCCTGCTTCGGGCAAACAGCAGCGGTTTGTACAAATGTGAACGATGCACATTTAATAGTAAATATTTCTCGGACTTGAAGCAGCATGTGGTTCTAAAGCATAAAACATGCCCTGAGGGCAACATCTGTCGAGTGTGTAAAGAAAGCTTCTCTTCCAAAAAGGTGCTTATTGAACACTTGAAAATTCATGAGGAAGACCCCTACGTTTGCAAATATTGTGACTACAAAACAGTGATGTTTGAAAATCTGAGCCAGCATATAGCAGATACGCATTTCAGTGACCATCTTTACTGGTGTGAGCAATGTGATGTTCAGTTCTCTTCCAGTAGTGAGCTGTACCTCCATTTCCAGGAACACAGCTGTGATGAGCTGTACCTGTGCCAATTTTGTGAACACGAAACAAGCGACCCCGAGGACTTGCACAGTCACGTGGTGAACGAGCATGCAGGCCGGCTGATAGAGCTGAGCGACAGCTACAACAGCAGGCAGCAACAGGGCCAATACAGTTTGGTCAACAAAATCAGCTTTGACAAGTGCAAGAACTTCTTCGTGTGTCAAGTGTGTGGTTTCCGCAGCAGGCTTCACACCAATGTCAATCGCCATGTGGCTATAGAGCACACCAAAATATTCCCCCATGTTTGTGATGACTGTGGGAAAGGCTTCTCAGGCATGTTGGAATATTGCAAACACTTAAATAGCCACCTGTCCGAAGGCATTTATTTGTGTCAATATTGTGAATATTCGACAGGACAGATTGGAGACCTCAGAATTCACCTGGACTTCAGGCATTCGGCTGAACTGCCTCACAAGTGCACCGATTGCTTGATGAGGTTTGGTAATGAAAGAGATCTTTTGAGTCATCTTCAAATACATGAAACTGCTTGAGTGTTGTGTGTATTTTCTCATCTAGCCCAGAATAATAGCATTTCAGAGTTTCCTCAGCATAAAAAGCAGCTGAGTCTGTCGAAGGATGGTGTATTTCATCAAACTTTTAATGCGTAATAGCATGTACAATTGTCTGGAAACCTAGTATTAAGTCCTTTGTGCCTATGGAAGGAAATAAACGTAACTATCCAGCTAAATGTGTATTATTCGTGTTCATATTACTATTTAAAAAGTGAAACAGCTTACATAGATGTGTGCCCTCGTCCTGGACGTTTAGAAGTTGCTAAGATTGAAAAAAATAGCTTTTATGCGGTGTGGCCTTTATACACCTTCCTGTAAGGTGCCTCATTCTCAGTGAGTGTCAGCTTCATGCATATGATTAACTTTCTTCCTCACAGTAATTAGTATCTGATTTTATTTATAGAACCAGAGTCATACTAAGTAGGAGTTTTGAATGTCATCATGCATGAGGCCAATTACATATAGTTCCTTCAATCTGCCCATTAAGAGTCCTTTTGATTTGCAACTATTTCAACATATTGGCTTGCTGCATTAAAGGAAATTCACTTTACTAAAAAAAAAAAATCCCATCTTTTGCTAAATGAGAGAAATAAAAAGAGAATGAATAAATAAGTATTGTAGCCAATGCATTTTAAATACTCTTCCAAAATCCTTTCATATCATTTTACCATTTGTGATTCATTACTCTTTACTCTGTTACTGCAAGAATCCTCAATTTAAACACAGATGTATTTTTTTTCTCATTACTTTGTATCCATGATATCATTTTTTTTCCTTTCATGTTATTAAAGACAAATGTCCAATGTCCCATATTCAGTATAAATCAGCCCTGAGACACGAGAACCAAGCAGCCTAAAATACTATTAGCAGCATAATACTCTACTACAGGGTTCCTCAACCTTGGCAACTTTAAGACGGGTGGACTT